CACCAGTTGTCTTTCAAACTGATGGCCCCGACTAGCTCAGGCCATCTTTTTTTTTATACAAGTTCTAATGCAGTCAAGCATGAGAAGTTTCAAATCCTTTCTCTTTAATCATTTTCCAAGAATCATCAACATTTTAGCTTCTCTTCTTTCTCACTCCCTTGACATCATTGACCTTTACCCCATATCATTTTATAGCAAGCCAAATGTTTATATCTAACTAGGTATCTTATTCATACTGTGCCCTAACTGGCGGCAAATATGAGGTTACAAAGTAAGAGATTTGAGCCCTGTTGTTAATTCTTGCCAATATGAAATCAACTAAATATATTATGATGCTTAGAGTGTCATTTTCAGGTATATACCAGTTTCTAAGTAATCTGTATATCACCTTTGTTATATGGATTCCATCTTATTCTTTATAAGTTCTCAAAATAATGATGATTAATACCTAGTTCTTTAACTATTGAGACTAAGTTGCTTTATTCTTCATGGAAATTTCTACATGTACTTTTCTTTAAGAGGAACTAGGAGTTTTAGAATCCTTTATTGATACTTTGATATTGGAAAAGTATCTGAGTGTTCATGTCCTGGTGCCAGAGATATGTCTGACCTTTCATGCCCTATCTCTTTTTCCTTCTGTGTCCCTATAAGTTTTTTTAATGTCATCTTTTAAGAAACCATTTTCCAAGTTCTTAAGTTCTTTGGATATATTTATCTCTTTTCGGTACTGAATAAGCAATAATCATTAATCTTTATGAATCCCTCCTGATTATTCAGGATGAATGCAAAGGCATCCATGGATGACCAGAGAAACTGGTTTCTGTAACAGATCAGGGAAATTTAGTTTTTCTTGAGAAGATTTTGTTCCCAGTAAACTCAGGCATAATCATGACTAACAAGGCAAAGCTAAGAGTTACCATAAGAATAAGCATAACAAAAGTTAGAGAAGTCTGAAGCCCATGAGCTCTACTAAGGTCAGCAGAGGAATTTTCAGTATTGTATCCATAGGTCCTTGCCAAATGGATGGGATTCTCCAAAGGGCCTTGCTGCCTAAGGAGCTCCATTTGCAACACACCTATGCATGCTTCCAAGGGTGACAGCATGGCTTCTACCAATTAACATAGTAAAAATGGCCATCCTACCTAAAACAATATACAGATTAAATGGAATCCTCATCAAAATTCCAACACAATTCTTTACAGACCTTAAAAGAACAATACTCAACTTCATATGGAGAAACAAACAAACCAAAAAACCAAGATAGCCAAAACAGTCCTATACAATAAAAGAACTTCCAGGGGGCATCACCATCCTTAATTCCAAGCTGTACTACAGAGCAGTAGTAATAAAAACCACATGGTATTGGCATAAAAACAGACATGTTGATCAACAGAATCAAATAAAAGACAGAGACATAATTCTACACAATAGGGACATCTGATTTTTTATAAAGAACCCAGAAATATACAATGGTAAAAAGAAAGCATCTTCACCAATTGGTGCTTGTCTAACTGGATGTCAGCTTGTAGAAGAATGCAAATAGATCCATATCTATCATCTTGCACAAAACCCAAGTTCAAGTGGATCAAAGACCTCAACATAAAACCAGATATAATGAACCTGATAGAAGAGAAAGTGAAAAATAGCCTTGAATGCATTGGCACAGGAGACAACTTCCTGAACAGAACAACAAAAGTACAGGCACTAAGATCGACAATTAATAAATGGGACCTCATGAAACTGAGGGGTTTTTGTAAGGCAAAGGACACTGTCAATAGAATAAAATGGCAGCACACAGAATGGGGAAAGATTTTCACTAACTCCACATCTGACAGAGGGCTAATATCCAAAATGTATAAAGAACTCAAGAAACTAGACACCAACAAGCTAAATAATCCAATTTAAAAATGGGGTACAGATCTAAACAGAATTCTCAAAAGAGGAATCTCAAATGGTTGAGGAACACTTAAACATCTGCAATGTCTTCAGCATCCTTAGCCATCTGGGAAATGCAAATCAAAATGACTCTGAGATACCATCTTTACACCTGTCAGAATGGCTAAGATCAAAAACACTAATGACAGCTTATATTGGAGAGGATGTGGAGTAAGGGGAGCATTCCTCCACTGCTGGTGGGAGTGCCAACTTCTATAGCTATTTTGAAAATCAATATGGTGGTTTATCAGAAAACTGGGAATCTATCTACATCAAGACCCAACTATATCACTCCTAGGCAAGTACCCAAAGGACGCTCCATCCTATCACAAGGACACTTGCTCAATTATGTTCATAACAGCTTTATTCCTAGTATTCAGAACCTGGGAAACAGCCTAAATGTCCCTGAACTTAAGAATGGATAAGAAAAATGTGACACATTTACACAATAGAGTATTATGCCCAGCTGTTAAAAACACTGACACCATGAAATTTGCAGGCAAATGGATGGAACTAGAAAAAAGAAAATCATCCTGAGTGACGTTACCGAGGTTCAGAAAGACAAACATGATATGTTCTCACTTATAAGTGGAAATTAGCTGTAAAGTAAAAGATAATCATGCTAAGACCCACAGACACAAAGAGGACAAATAACAAAGAGGGCTTGGGGTGTGGTGCAAAGGTCTCTCTAGGAAAGAGAAATAGAAAATATTTCTCAGGTAGACTAGAAGTGGGTAGGGGTAGGAACAGGAAGGATCAGGTAGGAGAAGGGAGGGAGAAAATACTGTGAGAATGACTGGAATTGGGGAACTTTTGAGGATGAGGTGGAAACCTAGTACAATGGAAACTCCTTGGAATCTATAAGGAAAATGCTAGCAAAGACTCCTAGTAATGGAGGACTTGGAGCCTGAACTGGTCGTCTTCTGTAACCAGGAAAAGACCTCAAGTGGAGAGATTGGGACACCAATCCAGCACAAAACCTTAGACCTACAGTTTGTCCTGCCTGCAAAGTATTCTGGGACCGGAGACTAGCAGAATCCTCATCTACGAGACCACAGAGACTTCATCCAGCAACTAATTGGAGCAGATGCAGAATACCACAGCCAAACATTTGGCAAAAATTAGGGAGTCCTACGAAGGAGAGGGGGAAAGGTTCAGATAAACTATAGGGGTTAGGGATGCCATGAGGTCATGGCCCACAGAAGCAACTGACCAGGACTCATGGGGACTCGAAGAAATGAGGGAGCCTGTAGGGGTCTGACCTAGGTCCCCTGCATATATGTTATGGCTGAGTACACTGGGAGCTGGATCATTTGCCTGCTTGTAGGATCCTCCTCCTCCTACTGGGTTGCCTTGCCTAGCACTGATGTGATGGTATGTGCCTGGTCTTATTGTGGCTTGTTATGCTTGTGTTGGGTGGATGTCCCTGGGAGCCCTGCTCTTTTCTGATGGGGAGGTAGGAATGGGTGGATCTGGGGAAGAGAGGTGGTGGGGGCAGAGACTAATGAAAGGGGAGGGGGGGAAACTGTGACCTGGATGTGATACATGAGAGAAGAATAAAATATATTTTTAAGAAGTATGACAAAAAAGATTACACAAAAACACAACAATGGGCCTACCTAAATCAATTGAATATTTATTTTAAAATCATATCCTCTGCCTATGAGTGATAGTTAGATAATAAACATAATTTTCACCCATTAAAGCGCTAGGAATTTATTTTTATTATTTTTATTGTATTTTTCTCTGCCCTGAAAACGGCCTGGCAGCCATTCAGAAGGAATCATGGAGCAAATACAAGTAAGATACTGGGCAGCTTGTGGTTCCCCACTCTACAAGCCTCTCTCCATCTAGCACAGGCTTCTGACTCTGGAGGGTGGGGGGATGTCTTAGCCACGCAGCACAAATGCTGGAGAACAGCATAAAATGACACTGAGATAGTGACACATCCTTCCCAGACAGAGTTCTTCAGAAGCTTGATCCAAAGATCATCCACGTGACATCCACCAGATGGCACTTACCTTTAGTGTACCATGTATTTTTATTTTTATCTACTTATTTTTATTGATGTCTTTAGGCATGACATGATGAATATAAATGTATGTGTCTCCATGTATGTATATATGTATGTACATGTATGGAATGATTAAATCAAGCTATTTATTATATCTGTCATTCACCTTTTGAAACAATTTAATTTAATTTAATTTAAAATATGCTCTTAAGATTTTCAAGTATTTATTGATATTATGATTATTATTATTAACTATTGCCACAAAACTGCATAGTATCTCCCAGAACTTATCATCCTATGTGGCTGAACCTTTGTAACTAGTGTCTCCTTATTCTCCTCATGTTTAACCCTTGTCCCTAGTGCCATCGACTGTTTTCTGACTCCATGAGTTCAACTTATTTGACATCGTGCAGTGGTTATCCTTTTTTTATCTGACTTATTTAATGTACTATCCTCTAGGTTCATTCCCCAGTATTGCAAACGACAGGATTTCCCACTCACAGTCATCAAGACCCTGGCAGTCAAGGGCCACTGGTTCAGTGTACTCTGCCAGTGGACTTACCTGGTGGACTCCCATGTCCTGCTGCAGCTGTGGCGATTGCAAAAGCAGAAGCAGGGGAAACAGAGCAGTGGGTGTTGTCAGATACCTGTCCTGGTTATTTAAAGAAAAAGGAAATGCAATGGTGAGGCACACAGATGGTATTCTATAGTGAATATTCTCATTTTAATACCTGTCCTGGATGAAGGGTTAGGCCAAAGGCCCCATGATATCCCTATTAATAGGCAAATAATGAGATTATAGCCATTCTAGGCATACAACAAACAAAAGCATATGTCCATGCAAAAACTTATACATGGATATTCACAAAAGCTGCTTTACTGTAGCCAGAAACTAGAAGTAATCAAATGTCCATCAGCTGAAAAAATAGATTTTTAAGATAACAGTATTCCACCATAGAAACAAATGCAGTTTTGGCATATACTATAAAATGGATGAGTCCAGAAAGCACTGTGCTAGGTGAAAAAGCCAACTCTGAAGGTCCCCACTGAATGCATCTCTTTTTATAAATGTCTATAATGGGTGAATCCAAACAGAGATCAGAGATGTGGTTATGGGGCCAGGGTAGAAATGGGGGAGTTTGTTGATGACTATAGGATTTCTTGTAGGGTATTGGAAATGTTCTAAAATTAAACCATGGTTATGGCTGCCTGACTTTCAAAGAATGCAGAATCCAATCAACTACATACTTTAAAAAGAAGGAAAAATTTTGTGGTTACGAATTGTATTTCAACATAAAACTATTTTTAAGAAGTCTTAAGAAGACTGTACGTCATGTTTTTGGTACACTTTCTATCAGTTGATGGCTAAATACTGGTTAAGCATGTGTAAGGCCTTTGGTTTGGTTCCATCCTACTGGAAGGATGAACTAAGTGTAGCCCATTTAAAACTGAAAGGATGTAGGACTGGGGTTGTCTCAGTGGGTACAGTACTTGATGCATTAGCACAATGAGTTAAGATCTCCTGCACTCTCTGGGCACTGGTGGTGCAAGCTTTCAACTCGGGAGGCAGAGGCAGGTGGATCTCTGTGAGTTCCAGACTAGCCTGGTCTATAGAGTGAGTGCCAGGACAGGCTCCAAAGCCATACAGAGAAACCCTATCTCAAAAAAAAAAAAAAATAAAGAATCTCCTGCACCCACTCACTGAAGCCAGCCTGTCAGACACACCTGTAATCCCAGCACTGAAAGGTGGGGACAGGCAGAGCCCCAGAACTACACAGTCACCGAAGCTAGCACATTGTGAGCTCCAGGTTCAGGGAGAGGTCCTAGCTCAACAGAGAAGATGGAGAAGGATAGAGAAAGACATCCAACATCCACCTTTAGCCTTCACCTATGCACACATAGATATGTACACACACACACCACACAAACCACACCATGTTCACTTGAATGATACTCACACACACCATACACATGCACTCCACACACACACCACACATACACCACACCATACACACCACACACACATACACACCACTCACACAAACACCACACCATATCCATACACACACCACATATACATGCACACCATACACACAGACACCACACACACACACACACACACACACACACACACACACACAGATATACACACCTCAAAGCTGCTTGCTGCCGAGCCTGTTATCTGAATTTGAGTTCAATCCCCAAGGACTTCCATAGGTTGTACTCAGATTATCACATGCATGCCATGGCACATATATACACAGCTCTCCAGTAAATAAACAAATGTAATTTAAAGCATGTAATTCTTTGGATTGAAAGGATGTAATATGCAGCCCCTGCAGCCGCTTTCACATTGCAGACTGTACTAATCACGTAGCATTTCCTAATGCCGCTGTCAGCATCTCTGCTCCCTCTCAGTCTTTTAGTGAAAACAATGTGCTGTGGTTCTGAAAGGCTTCCTTCTGAATTTTAGTATGCATACTATAAATAAATAAGCGACTAGATAGTTAATAAATAAGGTGGATGGATAGATGATTGGTATATAGACAACAGGTGACAGACAGACAGACGATATATAGGATAAATGGATAGATGAATGTCTAGGTTATCAATGGACTGGGTGGATAGGTAGACAGATGAAGCAAAAAGTCTCACAATGTGCTCAAACATGAAGTCAAGTGCCTGAAATATTAGTAAACAAGCGAAATATTGGTTAGATACTAAGAAACCATGTGACACTCTCTCCTATTTTTAGCTACTATTTTATCCCAGGTTCTAGGTTATTTCCTATATTCTAGTCTTTATGATAGATGGAAAATAATAAATCCTTACATAAATTAAAATTTTAATATGAATACACACGTGACTATAAAACTACAGAACAAAACTCTAACAGGAACAGGCTGAGCAGTATTTAACTCTTACCAGTCTTCCTGTGGCTCTGATCACATTGTCTTCCAGAAACGCTCCCAAGGAAGCCCACTGTGACACTTACCAAGGGAAGTTCCAGGTCCAGGACATTAGGAACAGGGCAGAGATTTAGTTGATTTTACAGTAGTCATGTGACAGGATAGGGAAGCCTAGCAGGCTGCCTTCATTTGCCAGGACCACTCAGATGGCAAGGTGATTGGAAAGTGGCCAGGAATCTGACCCCAAGGACTGAGATCTGGACAGAGCCTATCCTATACTCTTCTTGCTGCTCTCACAAGGCTGAAAAATGACAGCTTCTATAGAGCGGCTGGGGCCACAAATGCAGGAACCTCCTGGAGACATGCACTTTCATCTTTTGCTAACTTGCCCTAGATGAAGTCTCAGGGTAAGAGACAAAAAAACAACCTCTGCATTTTGCTTGGCTTACTTGGAGTGAATCTGGTTTCATAATTTTCTCCTCTGGCTTGAAATAATCAGCTATGGAGGGGGCAGGGAGAAAGAGACATTTCCAAGCAATACTGGTTTCCATGTATTTATTTGAGCAGTAAGGACAGAAAATAGGGAGATAAGTTTCTCTTCCAATTAGCAGATATTTGTTGTGTTTCGAAACAAACTATGGAATCATATATCATAATTTTTGTAACTATATATTGAAAAAACATATCAGGTTCTACAACTAATAATAATGACAGGATCCCATTCAACTGAACCTTATTTTCTGGGAAATAAGAATTTCTAATAAGGCTTATGCTGGGACTCAGGGAAGCTGATCCCTCAACTAGCCATCCTTGATGACATACATTTCATTCTGTTTTCTTTGCAGTATATATCACAGTAACGGGCTCGGCAATATTAGCCAAACTGAAGGCAGACTTCCTAATCCTTGATATTTCCAAGGCTTGGATCTATGCAACACGACCTGCTTCTGGTTAGTCTTTATAACTAAGACTGAGCAATGCACTGATCTTGAAGCCCAAGATGACTTCTATTTCTGAATCTCTGTCTGAGCTCTTACCTCCAGGCTGGCGATATCGGAGGTGCCGGGGAGTTGAGGGGGATCTGCAAGGTGACAGCTCTGTGGAGTCTCCTGCTCGGTCGGCTGGTGCAGACTCAAGGGCAGGTGCTGGAAAACACAGGAATGTTACCCAGGCTGTGAGTTCGCGAGTACTTTGCCAATATCATACATGGAAGTGCAAATTTGTTTACTGATAATAAGCATTTCATGTTGGCTTACACATTTAAAGTGCTTGCCTATAAAATCAAGTCATTCATCTCAGCAGAAGACTAAGAACATAACTTAAATCTGGATCTTCACAAGCTGGGCTTAAGATTTACTGATCTTGTCGAACCTGCAGCTGACTTTGGCCAGCCTCTGTCCAGTGCAATGGGAGGTTAAAGAGAACAGGGAGTGTGCATTGGATCTCCTGCCTTCCATAATGCCTTTTTCTTGGTGAAGGGACCAGCTCCCCATTTCGGCAGCCATATCAGCTTGTCTGACCTTGTCCTAGTCACTAGAAAGTCAGATCCCGGCCTAGTGGCAAGGAACCAATCAGAAGTTAGCTGGTGGCACTATGATTTACGGCTCTGGGTGTGCTTTATAGACAAGTGCACAGCAATGACGTGCAGAGCATAGCAACCACCCTGGGAGGGCCTATGGGCCATAACAACCAGTTGGCCAATCAACACAGGGCAAGCATTCCAAGCCTGGAGGCACACCAATACTGAGCCTGTGCGTACCCCTAGACACTCCCCTTACACTGCCCTACAAGATCTCTATGCAGGCCCTTCGAGCTGTCTTTGCAAGCCATCCGCCATGGCAGGTGGGTGAAAGACCCGAGCTAACATGGGGTTAGCTCGTTAAACAACAATAAAGCCTCATGCAGTTTGCAGCAAGCTTTCGAATCTGCCTGGTGATTGGGGTGACCGAGGTCCTGGGCTGAGACCCCGGAGGCCTGAGTTTTCCAGGGGTCTAACATTGGAACACAGAAAAATGACCTTTTTCAGATTAGAAAATAATTGTAATCAAAAGTAGGATTTCCTTTTGTGTAGGTTGCCCAATAAGGAAGCCCAAATGGGGAGGGGTTCTTTTGGACCTAGAGATACACTACCCAACATGGTAGCTCTAACCAAACATGGCTGGATGACTAATTTATATGAGCTAAAAATTGAAGTCATATTTGAACTCCCCACTAGCACTAGTCAGTCATGTCAAGGTTTACAGCCAGCCACCCATGGCTAGTAACTATAGTTTTGGGCAACACGGCTATAAAGCAATCCTCTGTCTTATTGGAAAGCAATCCTCTTCTCTTCTTGGAAGTCTTGTATTGACTAGCTCTGAGATAGAGTTAGTAAGCAAGGGAATTTCTTTTTTTTTTTTTTGACAGTTTTGTGAAAGCTTTGCCTTTAAACTAAAGTCCAGATGCAAATTTCTTTAATGAACTGTAGAGAGTTTAAGATGATCCGAATCACTGAGTGACAGCTGGTATCTCAAGAATGAGATTGTCTTTCTAGGGCCATGAGAGGGGCTTCTAAATGCCTTCCCCCAACTTCTTATGCAGGCAAAACAATAACATGTGTATTATTCCAAAGGAAGGTAGAAGCAAAAGTTAATTTATGTCCAACACATCCTCCTTTGCTTTTTAATCAGGTCCTTAATTGACTCCCATTGATTATATTTCTGTGCCATTCCTACTAATTGAGTATTATCTAGATCAGCTAAGTTGCTGCCCTTCTCATTCCATTCAAGGCTTACACAAACATTCCAAAACTCATAATGGTTTCATGTAAAGCTATTTTTAAACTTTCATATTATTTACTCCCTTAGAAATACGGCCACAATTTTGATCTTTTGAAACGCAATGGAACTGGAGAAAGGAAGTGGTTTGAATCTTTTCTTGAATGACATAATTACAGTAAAGTTGTTGGCAAAATGCATAAAAAAAACCCAGTGCTTAGCTGTTAGTTTTATTATTTTCTAAATAGCTCCTTCAAAGTTCAGTAATGGGAAGCATCTGTTGTGGAAGGCAGAGAAGAATATCAAATGCATATCCTTGGTTCAATTCAAGCACACATCCATTCATTTGAGGATAGGAGGGAAACTTTAATCAGCAACATATTAATTATTAAAAAAAAAACAACTGAGAGAGCTTGACAGGACCTCAGTGTCCTGAAAGAGCAGGGACAAGCTAACAGTACAAGGTAACGCACACCTATAGAAGAAGCCACACTGTGGAGAAGCTCTTTCTTTGGCTTGCTCACTTCCAACCAAGTGCTATGCAAACAGCTTTGCCTACAGGACAAGTGGGCAGATGTGGGCTCAAAACAAATGCTAAAATCAGGAGCACTTTCAGCCTACAGAGAAGCAATTTTCAAACTAAGAAGACAGAAACAGACACCAGTGCTATGAGCTGTTCCAGCATACTTGGGTGGCTAAGTTGCATAATCATGGTCTGAGAGAACCAGATAGGTAAGGCACCGCAATGGTGCTGGCGGCCATTTGGCTCTTCATTCCTGCCTTGCCTGCCATGGGCTTGATTTTCATTGAGTACCCATCATTGAAAAATTTCTAGATTTCTTTTTTTTTTTTTTAAATCTGGTGGTAGAAAAAACTATGGATGGTCTAGTAGAAGGACAGGAAAACACCAGTGGCTATTTATTAGAAGAGCCTAGAACATATTTGGGGACTAGGTTGTGGGAAGATTAAATTATTTATCTCTAAAAAATTACCACCCTGTTTATTTTGAGGAATATTTTCAATTTCTCTTCTTTTTCATCATGCCATTTGAAGTTTTCTTGAAATATTACAAAATTGGCATTATATCATCATAGTGACAATGAGATTAGGCAATGGTCACTGGCAGATTTCAATGAGTTTACCCTAAAACTGTGGGTGGCAGTAAGGGAGACCTATGTTCCCTATGGATACCATGGGTAGAACTGATGTTACACACTGAGATTGTGTGAGGTTGGATTTGAAATGCAAAGCAAAAAATGTAGCAACTCTTGGTGCTGGAGTTTGCCAGCTGTTTTGACTCTTAATGTTATGCAAAGCACATGCAAACATCTTTCAAATTAAAGATAGATCTGCATCTTCCATTTCCCTACCATTTGGAATTTTTCAAGACAGGACAGCAAAGGGAACAGAGCAGCACCCTGACTTACACAGACATCACATGCATCTGTGCACACTCATACACAAGCATGCATCTCCACACACACTCTGGATGTCAGACTGATGCCTCCGTGTTCTATCACATCTTCTACAAAGCTACTCATGACCAACATTGCCCATATATCAATGTAAAATTTAAAAACCATGTCTACATTGGATTGGTCTTATCTATTCAGAAAAATGCCATAAGACCACCATGAAACCAGTTTTAATTCTAAGCCTTTTGCTGTGAGGGTCTATTCATCAAGTCCAGTGACCAGGAAAGATGACCCTGCATAGACAAGTTGTCCTCAGCTTTTGATGGGGATCATATAATTGTTTTTGTGTCTGCCTCCATTCTGTCAAACAAGAAACTCAGAAGCATAGTCAGGGACTCCAGGGCTCAGAAGACCACACAGTAGACCATATAACCCCATCCTCAAGTAACTTTTCACCCTCTCCGCATCACCTGATGTCTTCACTTATTTCGTTTTTAATCTGAATGCATCTGGCCACAAGTCTGTTTGACTATTACCTTAAATGCGTTTAGGGAGGAAGTGGGAAATAAACATACGAAAGGGAATTAGTAGCAGCAATAGAAAGGGGAAGGCAATGGAAATGTGAAGAAGTGCTTAATGTAAGGATTAAGGCAGGCGGTTTCAGGGTACCAAGAGCTAAGGGGGCTGTGTTAGCAGGCAGCTGTGCCTGGGGAGCCCCGGAGTACAGGAACTGGCATTTCTAGAGTAGAGCCTTGCCTCAGCAGTCTCATCAACCACATAACTTAGACTTTCTGCACTGCCCAGAATGAGAGAGGAACAGCACACAATGAGCTGAAACTGCAAAATACTTCTTCTAAACTCGGAGCACCCAGAGAAGCCAACTCTTAAAAAACACTATAAACCATGTGTTTGAGGCAAACCCAGAAGGCGTTCGGTTTTCACTTTTGCTAATTCTGTACAGTGGGAATGAGCACCTTTCTTCCTGGTGCTCTCTGCCTACCAGCCTCATGGTGTAAGGCTGCCACACAGCAAGGCTTTGAAACAGCCAAGGACCTTCGCCTGAGAGCTTAGTCTATTGTTTTTCATTTATCAGAATCTCTTCATACTATTTGAGTCTTCCATCCCATGTTAGGAGATTAATGCCTAGCCCAACTTTGCTGAGAAATGGGACCTTCAAGGATGGTTAGGTCACAAAAGCTCTGCCCTCATAAAAAATATGCTATTTGGAGATCTATTTCTTGTAGAAGGATGAATTCAGCTTCCTTCCTCTAACTCTATCTCTTGCTCATGCAAGGCCTTCTATCTTTCTGCTACTCTACACAGCAAGAAAATGCTCATCTTACGCTGGCACATTCTCTTGGACTTCTTGATCTCTGGAAGCTCTGAAAAAATAAACTTTTTTTTTCTGAGACAGGGTTTCTCTGTAGCTTTGGAAGTTTTCCTGGAACTCACTCAGTAGATCAGGCTGGTCTCAAACTCACAGGGATCCACCTGCCTCTGCCTCCCTAGTGCTGGGATTAAAGGCGTGTGCCACCACTGGCCAGTGAAAAATAAACTTTCATTGATTGTGATTTACACAGTTTCAGATGCTGTAATAACACCAAACAGATTAGGCCCTGAAATCTGTCTTCTAGTGTACTTTTCCAAGGAAAAAAGCTATGTGTCCCTACTTCAATGTAAACAATGTCCCAAGCATCCTAGACCAATGGTGCCCATTCTAGGTTTGGGTTTGAACTAAAAGAATGCAGTGACCAAAGTGCTGTGTTCTCAGCACAACAGGCTGATATAGCTCATCCAGTCACATGGAGTGGTGTGTAGGTGTGACATGGATCATCCAATCACAGGGAGTGATAGTCAGTGTGATATGGATCATCCAATCATAGGGAGTGGTGTGAGTGTGGTGGGAGCCACTGGAATGAGAGCATGCATTTAGACCAACATGAAGAAAGAAAAGAGGTCCTGTTTTTCTGATAGTAAAGGAAACAATTATATCCATACTGGTAGGTATTAGTGACATTAAAATGCTTCTGAAAATTATTTTTAGAAAGACATGTCTTACATCATACATATTAGAATGTTATCTATTTCAAAATAAATTAAAACTTGCAAGTGCTGTTGGAAGTCTTTTGTACTCCTAGGAATGTGAAGTATACATTCACTATGCACATTCCTCTAAAAATTAAAGATGGGATTAACATGTGTCCCAGCAAGCCTATTTGTAGTACGTGTGTGTGTGTGTGTGTGTGTGTGTGTGTGTGTGTATTTGTATCTCTCTGTGTGCTCATGTGTGTACATGTGTGTGTTTGTGCATGCATGCATGCGTGTGTGTGTGTGTGTGTGTGTGTGTGTGTGTGTGTGTGTGTGTATGTATGTATTTATGGGTAAGGATGTTTGCATGTGCTTTCCAGAAGAACCAAGATCAGAATCTTGCAGAGATATTTGCACTCATGTTAATTGCACTATTCGCATTAACCAAGATGTAGAAGTCACTCAGATATCAACTGAGGGGCAAATGGTAAAAATGACATATACACATATAGTAGAATATTATTTTCCTTAAAAATTAAGGAAATCTTACTACATATGAAATGATAGAAGCTTAGGCCATTAAGGTAAGTGAAGGAAGTCAGACACAAAAAGCCAAAAGCAGTCTAATTTTACTCCCAATAGACTCACAGAAACAGAAAGTAGAATGTAGAGCGGTGCTTGCCAGAAGCCGGTGTGTGTGGGGGGGGGGGGGGGGGGGGGGGGGGGGGGGGGGGGGTGAGGGTTCAAGAGTTGGGGTTTCCTGTCCAAGATGAAAAGTGATTCTAGTGATCTGTTGTGATTGCTCAGCTTACTTAATTTAAAAATCACTGCGACAGTAAAAATAACGGAGAAAAACATTAGGAGGACTTTTGTTTCAATTTGCCTAGGCTTCCTAGGAAAACTAGGAAGTTCTGCTTACAGGGCTCATGGTGTCAAAGCAAGGAAAGGGTGTTCAGACGCAGCTGTGCCCCAGGAAGGACTATCATTCCAAGGTGTCCTTGCCCACACCTGTACAGACAGTCTCATAACCCAGAACGTGGCCTGCCTCCTCCCTCAAGTCACGGGGCTCTCTTGGCTCATATCAAAGATACTCCCTGATTATGCTCACAGGGCACAGTCTCCTTGCTTTTCAGCCTCATGCTCTCTTCTGCACCCTCATGCCACCTGCCTTTATAGTTGCATGTCTTTTACCCACATAGTAGGTGGGTAGGGCACCACCCTATTTTCCCCATGTAACTGCTCCAGTCACTGGAGCACACACAGTGTGCTCGGTCTCCAGAACAGGCCTGACCATACATTGGGTAGAAGACCTCACCCCAGCCCTGAGATCAACCAAAGGATGCTCTGGGAGCCATGAAGAACTGGCACTGAAATCCTTCCTCCTGAAGTGCTCCTGATTCCAAAGAACACGAGAATTCAGATTTTTTGTCTATTCACTGTAGACTGGTAACAGAGGGGGAAAAAACCCACCATGCCCTGGGAACCTTCTGGACTACCCAGTCCACTGTGGCTCCAGTCACTCCCTCCAAGGAAGTGATCAGACACTGGTGCTGGGTAGAGCCCCAGTTACATCTGTCAGCTAGTCTTTGCCTCATTATTTCCAAGAATTCATCATGATTTTTGCCACACTTGTTGTTTTAATGACTTTTTAATTATCTTCCCCCCTTTTTCTTCCTAATTGCTCACTTGTCAATTTAAAGAATTTCTTTTTTTTAAAAAAAGATGACACTTTGGATGATGACAAGCACTTTAGTTAAAATTCCATTAAGTACTTCACCCAGAAAGCTTATTCAAATGATCTGAGGGAGCCAGCACATAGACACTTCAAGCGAGCAGTAATGCAAGGGTCTGGACCTCCATCTGGGGACCCGCTTTGAAATATGGGTACAGTGATTTATTGTCTGATTCTTATGCTATCATCAATAAGCAAGTCAGTGACATAGAAAGGGGATGTTCCTTGTTAATGTGGCTATGAGACTTGCTTATATTCCTCATGATAACACTGGATTTTAAAATTAATAAGAGGCGGCACTTGGGGCCCCACAGTGTTCAACCCAAGGAAGAATAGGCTGTGCACCAGTTGTATTAGCTGCTTTTCCTATTGCTGTGACCAAATAACCTAACAAAAGCAACCCAAGGAAGGGAGGGTTTGCTTTAGCTTTCAGTTCTGGGCTACATGGTAGCAGGGAAGTTGTGACAGCAGGAGTGTCACATAGTCCATGCCTGTGTCCATAGTCAGGAAACAGAGATGAAGTCTGGCACTCAACCCACTTGCTCCTTTTTATTCAGCATGGGGCCCCAGTCTCTGGGGGTTGGTGCAGCCCACAGTTGGCGTGGTGTTCCATCTCATTCAACCCAGTCTATAAACCTCTCAAAGGCACCTCCAGAGGTGATTCTAGACTCCATCAAGTTGATAGGCAACATTAGCTATTAGACTAGAGGACACAGTTCCCTGAGTGGTTCTCTTCATTTCTGCACTTCATAAACATTCACTTCCAGGCTGAAGCATGGAGATACTGAGAAGAACAAGCTAGGCAAGGTCACTGATTGCAAGGATTTTGCACAGGCAAAGACATTACAAAGGTCCTTTCATAAGAACAACCAAGGAATTCTAAAGGCACAAAGTGGGAATCATTGTGGTGGTGGCCTAGTAGATGAGGAAATGTGGACAGCATGAGTTGTAAATCAGCAACAGGTCTTGTAGAATCTGCAGGCCTTGGAAGGAGAAATGTACTTTATTCTGTATGCAACAGGAAGCTATTGCAGAAGGTAAGCTGGAAGCCATATGATATTAAAAAAAAACAAACACTTTGCAGCCATACAAGTTGGGCTCAAACCCATAATCCCAGCTCTTAGAAAGTTTAAATCAGGAGGATTACTATGAATTGGAGAACAGCCTGGGCTACAAAGTAAAACCTAGCTTAAAATCAACAAAATTTGGCTGTATCGTAGAAAATTAATGCTGTTTCTGCTTTGATTTGTCTCACTATACCTTTAATGTGACCTGAAATGGCCTCTCCGTCATGACCAAGCTCTTCAACTGCCTTAGTGCTTCCAGGTTAGGCCACCCTCAGGAGGAAGAGGTTAGAAGGGACGGCCCTTCATGCAGACAATGGAGAGGGAGGAAATTGTGAACCCAAGTGCTTGGATATGTGTGCCCAAGGCTTATCCTTTATATAAAATATCATAGTAGACTCTTTAGCTAATTGGCCTTTGCCAAAATCCAAGAACTTCCCTGAAATATGATCTTAATATACCAGTGCTCTGTTGATGACTAACTACAACCAGCCTTTGACTATAGAGAATGGGGAAAACTAGCTGCTCCCTACCACTCTAGGGCAAGAATCTGCAAGGATGCTCTTGGATCGACTGGCATTTTATCCATTGTACTTTCTATGCAGAATTGGGGAAACTGCCAAAACCCAAAAAGACAGAGAGAGATGAGCATTCCAGAAAGAATGGTGGAAATCAGGCAGTGGCAAGAGTGGAACGTGATCATGTGTGAGAAGACGCTTGACGTACACCCTGCTGCACAGATCCCCATGGGTCCATCTGCATTCTCTCCTAGCGCCCCTGCACTTTGCTCTGGAGCAGAGGGAACCTTGCTAGGATGCAGTGGTACTTTACCAGCGTGAGGTGGTGGGGACGAAGTGGGACTGTGCGTGGTAGGACTGCTAGAAGATGACGATGTGGTCAGGTCCAAGGCTCCGATCCTTGCGTTCAAGGAAGACGTCAAGGACAGTTTTCTGGCCCTGACTGGAGAGGATGTTCTGGACACAGCCAAAGGAGGTGGGGAGGAGAACTTGCGACACAGACGTGGGGATTTTCCATCTACCATGTGTTCGCCTCTGTTATTTGGGCTTGCAGCAAAAAATAACTCTAATGACCTAAAATGAAGAGCAAAGGCTGTTAATTGATTGTAGCCAAAGGAAGACATGTCTCAGGTATCACACAGCAATGCACTCCCAAGGTCATCTACATTTGAAAGCCTTGATGACATCGCATTTCCACTGATGGATTTTCCTTAATCTAATTGCTACAGGTGCACATGTCCTTGCTAGGGGAACACAGACCCTGTCCGGGCCCTCTGATCCCTAGCCACTAAGGTGTGGTAAAGTCTTTAAAGGGCAGTAGCACCCCATCTTTGGGGATCCTGTTAAGCATGCCAAACTTAGGTGTGCTCCACAGCTACTGAGTCAACAAAATACCCCTTTCTCAGATGATCCAGAGGTACATTAATGCTTAAGAGAATAGTAATAATTAATAATAATAAATAGCAACATTAATAAATAATGGTGATGATGCTAAAATAAGGAGCCAATTTGCAAGTACTCATAGAGTAATCAAATGAGACTTGGAGACTTCAGGCCTTTCCATGTCTTCCCTGGGGAACTCTGAGATCTTTTACTTAACACTTCCACTGATGGAACAAGGTCAAAGGTGAGCCAATAGCTTGAGGACTGCAAGGAGAGTAGGAATGACATCAGCAACGTTGGAGTACCTGACAGGGATGGAGGTAAAAGGCCTCTTGTAGATGTCAGAGAGCTTCGCCAGCACCACGGTGGCTGTGGTGAAAATTCGGTACGTGTGCAGGAAGGTGTTGAGGAAATCAATGCTCAGAAACCGCAAGTCTGTCAACCGCTCCAAGAGGCGCTCCACACTGGCATATCGGATCTGGGGCACTTTGCAGGAGTTGAGTGTTTTACTGAAACAGATGTCAGTGTCGTCTTTATGAAGACGGGCATCAGACCTACATGCAAAGCAGGAACATGTGAGCAAAGCTGCTGGAGCTTCTGCCTCAGCCAGTGAGTGCTACAGCGTCTGTAAACGCACACTCATGTGAGGCTTCCAGTGTTTTCCACAGACGACAGAGCAATGTGCAGGTGGTATGACATGCCACAGATGTGTATGGGAATGTTATGTGCCACCATGACAGTCTAATTTCGGGAGGCTACAACGGATTATGGAGGTTGCAATGACATGTGATTTTATTATGTGGATCCCTTCTTGCTCTAATTCAACATGTTTTATTAGAAAGATGATGCAAAAGTCTCTTTTAGTAGAAAGAGAAAACATTTCTCATGTACTTAAAGCAGAGGTCAGAAGTGTGCTTAAACCAGAGTGGTGACAAGGACAAGCTGGTTATCCGTGCTGTGTAAGATGTTAGGATACATTGTATTATAAATATGTAACACCAGTATACAAGACATAATTTACTATATTACCTTTTAGAACCAGCTCTTTGTTTTTTTCAGTTATACTGCTTTCATATTAACTTATTTATGTGCTTCCAATATTTTCCTATATTTAAGTTCTCATCATCTTTCTTTGACAATTTTCCTTTTGTTTTACTTTCTTTTTATTTTTCCTTTTATTTATTTCCTTTTTATATTTATTTATGTGAGGAGATATATGTGGAGGTCAGAGGATAGCTTTACAAATGAGTTCTCTCCTTCCACCATGTGGATCCCAGGTGTCAAACTCGGGTCACTGGGCTACAGATTCCATCTTGTGGGTCCCTGGGGCCACTGGGCTTCAGATGCCCTTGTCCACTCTGCCATCATGCTGGTCCCTCTCTTCCTTTCCCCAACTTTGAATTGAATGCATAATTGATTTATTTTATTCTTTCTAGCTTATTAATAGGCTTAAAATTTTTAACACAGTTTAGCTTGCAAATTGGCATGCTAAATTTGCATTCTGTTTTCAATATTCTGCACTATAGGAAATAAATCCTTAAAGAATAATAATATTGGGTAGTACTCCCCTGGACAGCAGCTAGTACTGACTACCTTTCTATAAAACCCTCTTGCATCTGCTGCCCTAACTTCTGCAGTAGGCAACCTCCCTAGGAGGGCCTCCGGAAGCCCCTGTAGTCTTCAATTCGTTACTAACTCTCTTGTCCTCTTCTGGACAGCACCAAATTAGAGAACTGTCAGTCCTAGCTTTCAAAATTTTGTCATAGGCATAATTCACATATGCAGGGCCCATGACTCTTTGAAAGCCAACTTCTTGCTAAGAACCTGCTGGTTTTGTTAGGAAAGCTCCGACTTAGGTCTTTTACTGCTTTGGAGAATTTTAAATTATATATTTATTTTCTTTGGGATAAGCAAGAATCAATAGTTTTCTTAGCTTGCTCTAGCACAAAGGGTGCAAGCACAGGTAGAAGCACTTCATTTGCAGCACTTAAGAGCATTTTAAATAGCTAGCCTACCTTTGCAGAGGACTTGGCCAATGCTATCCTGTTGACTTCATTCACATTATTGATTTTGGAAATATACTAGTAGGTCTTTGGGATCTTTTTTTTTTCTTTTTTAAAATAGCCTGATATTTCATCCATTTACTACATGATCCTCAACAGTAGTTTCAACTACCAACAGTAGTTTCTGGCTCTTGAGTTCTCATTTTTCCAAAGACCTGGGTGGCTTTTATGAATTAATCAATCTGTCTGAAATGGTTGAATAAAATAGTTGTTTTTTTTCTCTCACTTTTCCCCATCAAAATCTCCATCTTCTAAGAAAGACAAGGTCAAATACTGTTAAAAGAAAGCCTGAGTCTATATACCATTTCAAGGGATGTTTCATGTAATCGCTGTCACTATTTTGCATTCTAACTAGTTTTGAGCTTTGCATCTTTTTCACTATAATTAGTTTGTTCAAAACACTAGGAGGGGAAAATGTGCTGCAGCCAGCATGAGATTAAGTTAAGCTAATTATACCACTGTCCTTCAAATTTGTGATTATATTTTCATTTTAAGAAAAGAAATTAAATATTATGAAATTACTTAATTTTCTTTTATTACACTGACTAGGCTCTTCATAATTTCCTGAGGGACTCTGAAGACAGCCACTTAAGCCTCCACTGGCAATAGCAGCTGGTATTTTGTAAACACGTAAAAAGTAATCTTGAGAGATCAAAACCAAATCACCCATTATGATCGATGAGTTTTAAAAGGGAGTGAGTGTTTATGAAGTGATATCATGCCAATAACAAGATGTGGTTATGTTTAGGGTGTTTTTCCCTTTAACTCTGAAAAATGTTGATGTCCCCCTGCCTCTCCAGTGGCATGTAGCCATGGAGACAGGTGCACAGGGAAGCAGATACAGGCATGAAGATATGTTTTCCTCTGGTTTAAGAGAACTAGTGAGGCTGGGAAAGCTTGAAGGAAGAAATAAAGGCGTGACCCTTCTCTCTGCCTTAGGACTATACCAAGTGTGGCATGGAAGCCCGGGCAGGTCGGTAGGTCCTTCTCCCTTAAGTGTCACTTCTGTGAATGAAAGTGGTTATGCTAATGAGAATGGACAGGGTCAGTGTCATGGTAGGGAACAGTAAATGCATGCATCACTGGCCATGAGGGTCAAACACACAACTAAGGTTTCCATTAACTTTGGAAGTCAACACAATGACTGGGCAGATATGCAGTTGCCTTGGGTTTCATGGGCTTTGAACTTACCCACAATGTCTGACTTACCATTATGACTCTAAAGCAACATGGATTTTCAAATATATATTATTTGTGAAATCAGTCATGTCATAAAAATTAATAATAAAACTCTATTCAAAAAATAAAACATAATTTAAACCTGACTTAATATTCTATACTTTTTCTAAGTATTCAGATATTTTAATTAATTCAAAAAGAAATTTCTAAGTAAAAAACATAAGAAATTCAATGCAAACAGAATCTATGCCATAGGGCTTGAACACAGTCCCCCCCAAATATTTTTAAATTGACTAAAATTTATGATACTATTTGCAAATTTTATTGTAATGTTTTTCTAGTATTGCCTTTATGTGATATAATTAACAAGTTCTACATCTGTTCTTGTACACTGAGGCCATGCTAACATGTCTCTGAAGGCAACATTGTAGTTTGTCTCAGCATGGCAGCTCAGACCTGAAAGTATCCATACAGGAAAGATGAAAGAGATGTTCTTATTTCCAAATAACTTTAAAATATATAACCAAGTTGCTTTTAAAGAAGACATTCTACTCTTAAAATGTGGAATGCAAGGGACTGAAGAGATTGCTCAGTGGTTAAGAACAGTGACCTGGGTTCAATTTCCAACATCCACATGGTGGCTCACAACCATCTGTAACTCCAATCCCAGGACAGCTGACGCCCTCTTCTGGCCTCCAAGTGCACTGCATGCACAAGGTGCACAGACATACATGCAGACAAACACCCATTCACATACAATTGAAACATGAAAACAACGTGGAGCACAAATAATCAAAAATAAAATGAGAACAAGGAACTATTTCTTCTCTAGTTTCTGAATTTGAAAATGAAATAGTACACAGACCATTGATATACAGAGCTCTAACATGCATAACTAGGAGCTATTGATAGAGCTCCTCATTCTAAACCACAGCCTCCTAGCGATGCACTTAAACAGCAGGATTTGCTTCATTGAAATATGGACAAGATCGCAGCCTGAGCCAATGGCCTCTGAGCAAAGCCAGACACATGCAGTGAGCAGATAGTGCCACATTCATGCCAGCTGAAGCCTTTCAGGTGTGTTCAATGCCTAAACCTGGCTCTAAGGCCAGATCTGAGGGAGAGGATTCATACTCACTGGTATGATGCCAAATAAGCCAGCCACACCTCCATCCACCCCCTGACCTTGAGCAGTTTTTAATATTGAACTTGAACATCTTGACAAGATTTTTGTCCTGGGTAAGGGCATATGTTAATCATATGGAAACAAATTTCAATGCTATCTGCCAGTAGGCTATGAATCTGAAAAAGCATTTTGATATGAGTTACTGTTTATTATAACTTCATGTGAGTTACTCCATGACTGACAAGATGGACCTTCTCCAGAAGAGGCAGAATCTTACTGACAATATTCTATTCAAAGTTTCTCATTCTCTGTCAATCTAATCATGATTAAAATGGAAGGAAGAGGGTTGCAGGACTTACTTAATCATATGTGGTACAGTAACTTTAGAATTCTCTTCGAAGACTATAGTCATTAAACCATTACATCGTATATTGTCCACACACTGTGGGGGGAAAAAGACAATTAAAACTCACATAAAGACTCATGCAGGTCATAGTTAATCCCTCATCTGTTTATGTTACACACACACACACACACACACACACACACACACAACACAGCAGATATATGCTACACATTAATGAACCCAATCCATACTATGAATTTTTAATTCATTTGAATTAGTTAATGAAAGAGTTAATTCAATAATATGCATATAATCAAATTGTATCAGTCAAATGCATGACAAAATACTGGTGGATAGTTATAAGGCATATATTTTCCAAGAATGTGTTTCCTTATTATTATTTTTATGGAACTGGGAAATCAAACATGGGACCTTGCACATACCAGGCAAGCACTCTCCCCCTCAGCTCTTCAGCACCTATTTTTTTTTACAATTCTTACCACAATATGACTATGTCACAATTCTGTGTCAACACTAATCAGGAAGTTTGTACTTTTGATACTAGCTATAGTCATTTTCTACCACCAAGGGCACTATGAAATAGATTGTAAATGGCATTTGGATGAAAATCATCTCTTACTAGCAAGCTCTGTGCCCACATCTCAGGTGTCTTTTTGCCAATAAATCCCCACATTTTATTAGTTTGTCTAGCAGTTTCTGTTGGCACCATGTGGAGTTGGTGAGGGGGCAGAGTGTAAATTTTTGTGCTTTTGGCACACTTATCACTCTGTAGCAACTTTTTCTCTTTTCTAAGAGAACTCAGAAATTTTGGTTAATTCCCAAATTTTTGCATATATATGCCTTATTGATTTAAAATCTTCTGCAATTACTTTGGGTTAAAGAAGAATCCATCTGAATTATAAATATTCCTTTTGGATCAAATCAATAAAAATAAGAAGTACACAAATATTAAAATAAAAACGTGCTTCTAGTCACAAAGATACAACACAGAGCTAGTGACTGTAATTAAACGGTGCAGAGAGTGTTATTATAACATAACCTCACATAGGCCTTTCTTTTAAAGCCTAACCTGATTCTCAATGTCAAAATGAAAGTGGCAATGTGTGTAAGAGATTACTGGTCAACTTGGTCTATAAGTCAAGTCAAATAAGTCGTATTTGTTTTTCTTTCAAATCTTGTTTCCCTCAGATCTTATGTTACCATTTAAGCTACCAGGAAGAAAGGCTCCAAGCCCAGGAAAATAAAAAATTTCCTTTATGCATTTTTTTAAACTATAACATTGGGAAATAACTTTAAGTTATGTTTCTTCACACAAATACTTAGTTTCTTAGCTATCAACTTACTTATATGTGCTTATAAGGTGAATTTAGGCTCCACCTAACCCCCTACAACATTGATGCTAAAAATTTAGGACACAAGTCAAGACAGGCCAGATTAGAGCAGATTTGGGTAAAAGGCAGAAAACAGTGAGCTAAAGCCAAGTATGAAACCACCACACTACTGCATGTCTGAACATTTGCTCTAAGTAACCCTCAAAATAACTGGGATATGGGGAACCAACTCAAAGATGAACATACTAGAAGAAACACAATTCACAGTTTGCCAGAATTCCAATGAGACCTAGTCCAAAATAAGTGGGAAAATGTTTTGTAGGTTGTCATAAAGAAAATGCTAAATAGTACACAATACAATGCTTTCCATACCTTTAAAGTAACTACAAGTATAACCAAACTGCTTTTAGAAACACCTTAAAGTCCAAGTGAGCACCCCCATGATGGACTCTAGAGAATATGGCCTAGAAGTGGCTTCCCAGGCTGAAGCACAGGCCTTACACTCTTCAGAAAGCTGAAGGCTGCTACATGTTGACATAAGTCTTAGGTAACTGGAAAGTAAAAACATTGTCTCCCTAGTCCTGAACCAGCAGCACTGTATAAGCTCAGTTTTTGAGGTGTGTCCTCCAGTGAGCCAAGCTGCCATAGGCAGATATCCTCTTGGACCTAAAACAAGATGACATGACCTTTACAGCAGAATTTGCAGGGCCTGATAGTGTCCTGGTAACCCCACTGCACAGTTTATAATGAAGATGAGTAAAGGAATGGTAAGGGTCAGATAGAAAAATGCAATGGGAAAGAGAATATTGAATTTACTTTTATCTTGAAGGAAGATGTGAAGACACTGAGGACATCTAAGCAGTTCCTTTGTATTGGGCTATCTAAATCATACTCATGGAGATACTCATTGTAAAGGGGATGAAGAAACAGAGCCCTACGAGGTCATTAGAACAACATTCTGAGTTGATAAATAAATAAAATGATTTGTGCTTCCCAGGTGATGGATTGTGGGGATGAAAAGGAAAGTGAGATACTTTGAAGAAAAATATAAGAAAAGATGATTAGTTAAAGCATAAAACCAAGAAAAATCAATGGTAAAGGCCAAAGATGACCTTACTAAAACATAATTTAGAGGGGGGAGAGAACATGAGGGATCAGGAAGATCGAGTTGGGGGAAGAACAGAGAAGGAGAGCAAAGAAAGAGATACATTAATAGAGGGAGCTATTATGGGCTTAACGAGAAGCCTGCCACTAGGGAAATCTCCAGGAATCCACAAGGATGACCCCAACTAAGAATCTAAGCAATAGTGGAGAGGCTACCTTAAATGCCCTTCCTCTATAATAAGATTGATGACTACCTTAAATGCCACAATAAGCCTTCATCCAGTAGTTTATGGAAGCAGAAGCAGAGATTCATAGCTAAGCACCGAGCCAAACTCCTAGAATCCAGTTGTAGAGAGGGAGGAGTGATGAGCAAAGGGTGAAGACCATGCTGGGGAAACCCACAGAAACAGCTGACCTGAGCAACAGGGACTGACAGCTGGGGAACCAGCATAAAACCAAACCAGGCCCCCTGAATGTAGGTGTCAGTTGGTGGCCTAGGGCAGTTTATGGGGCCACTGGCAAAGGAACCAGTATTTATTCCTAGTGCATGAATGGGCTTTGGGAGCCCATTCCCTATGGGGGGGCACTCTCTCAGCCTAGATACATGGGGGAGGGACTAGGTCCTGCCCAAATGAGGTGACAGACTTTTATGATTTCCTATGGGAGGCCTCATCCTCACTGGGGAGTGATGGAGATTGGGATGGGGGTGGATGGGGGCATGGGAGGACATGAGGGACAGGGAACTGGGATTGGTATGTAAAATAAGATTAAACAAAATAAAAAAGAATTTTCTGTTGCCAATAGAGATGATGATAGTGATGGTGATGGTGATGATGATGGTGGTGGTGGTGATGATGGTGATGATGATGATGTACAGTCAGTGTCTTTTGGCTAAAATGCAGTTTGACCCAAACAAGTCTATCTTTTGAATTGTTGAGAACACCAAGAAGTTACAGTCAATATAAATCCTGGGGTCTTTACAAAATGGGTGCTTTGCAACAGCACATTTTAAATACTTATTATGAGATGGATACTGGGCTAATAGTTAGAATACACTGGTAAAAGCAACTTGCTAGAGAAGGGTTTATCCTGAGTCACAGTTCAAGGTACAGTCCGTGATGGGCAGGGAAGTCAAGATCTCAGGATCTTGAAGCAGTTGGTCCCACTGCATCCACAGTCAAGAAACAGACAACGGATGAATGTGAACCAATGTTCATCTCACTTCCTTCCTCCATTGCACACAGTCTGGGATGCTCTGCCCAGGGAACTATCCTGCTTATGATTAAAATCATCCACCATGATCAAGTAGGCTTCATCCCAGGGATGCAGGGATGGTTCAACATATGAAAATCCATCAATTCAATCCACCATATAAACAAACTGAGAAAGAAAAATCACATGATCATCTCACTAGATGCTGAAAAAACCTTTGACAAAATACAACACCCCTTCATGATAAAAGTCTTGGAGAGACCAGGAATAACAGGAACATACCTAAACATAATAAAAGCAATATACAGCAAACCAACTGCCAACATCAAACTAAATGGAGATAAACTCAACACAAATACTCTAAAATCAAGAACAAGACAAGGCTGTCCACTCTCTCCACACCTCTTCAATATTGTCCTTGAAGTTCTAGTTAGAGCAGTAAGACAACAAAAGGAGATCAAAGGGATACAAATTGGAAAGGAAGAAGTCAAACTCACTATTTGCAGATGATATGATAGTCTACATAAGTGACCCAAAAAACTCTACCAGGGAACTCCTACACCTGATAAACTTCAACAAAGTGGCAAGATACAAGATTTAACTAAAAAAAAAAAAGTAGCCCTAGTATATACAGAAGATAATGGACTGAAAAAGAAATCAGAAAAACATCACCCTTTACAAAACCCACAAACAACATAAAATACCTTGGGGTAATGCTAACCAAACAAGTGAAAGACCTGTATAGCAAGAAATTTGAGTCTTTAAAGAAAGAAATTAAAGAAGATACCAGAAAATGGAAAGATCACCCATGCTCTTGGATAGGTAGGATCAATATAGTAAAAATGACAATCTTGCCAAAAGCAATCTACAGATTCAATGCAATCCCCATCAAAATACCAGAATAATTCTTCACAGTCCTTGAAAGAACAATACTCAACTTTATCTGGAAAAACAAAAGACCCAGAATATCCAAAACAACCCTGTACAATAAAGGAATGCCCAAAGACATCACCAACCCTGACTTCAAGCTCTATTATAGAGCCATAGTCCTGAAAAAAGCTTAGTATTGGCAAAAAACTAGAAAGGTAGACTAATGGAATTGAATTGAAAACACTGATGTGGGCCAACACACCTAAGAATACCTGATTTTTGACAAAGAAGCTAAAATTTATACAATGGAAAAAAGAAAGCACCTTCAACAAATGCTGCTGGCATAACTGGATGCTGGTATGTAGAAGACTACAGATAGATCCAAATCTATTGCCATGCACAAAACTTAAGTCCAAATGGATCAAAGACCTCAACATAAATCCAGCCACACTAAACTTCTTAGAAGAGAAAGTAGGTGGTACCCTCAAATGAATTGGTACAGGAGACAGCTTCCTGAACATAACACCAGTAGCACAGACACTGGGATTGACAATTAAT